GATGGGCCAGCATGCTCTCGGGAGGCCTGCCAATGTCTGCCCTCGGAGGTGCTGCCAGCTACACACAGAGAGCCAGATCCGCTCCAAATAATGAGATTGTCTCCCAAAGCACAAAGTTGCGCTGAGCACCTGCTCACCCTCGCAGGGTGATGAGGCCAGAGGAGAATGGGTAATTGAAGATCACAGGCAGTGAAACAAAAGAGGAGGAGGAGGAGGAGAAGGAGGAGATGAATCAACAGCCCTTAGCCCTACCTCCCTGGCCTTTCCTGGGAGATCAATGCAGAACTCACCACGTCTGTCTCTGGATTGGAAAGCAGTGGCCGGGCCCAAAGGACCGCAGAGAGGACAGGCAAAGGGACCTGGAAAAGCAGCCCCAGACCCTGGCACCGGTGTAGGGCTAAATAACAGAGTGACAAGTCAAAAAATTCAAGATGGCATTAAATGGATTTAAACAAACATGAAGATCATCTCCTTTCTGTTTAAGCAAGCTTGAAATGGGTTTATATCCCTTTACCCCCCTAGTATTCCTAACAGATCTGTGTGAAATGCAACCTGGACCATCTGCACCAGCTAAGCAACCTGGTTACCCTCTCAGAGGAGCTGCAAGGTGTCTTCAGGGCCCCCCACCCTGCCCCCAGAAATGTGTCTACTAAGAACCCAGCTGGTCTAGTTGTATGCACTATGAGGTGCCCGTTTCCCCCACCTTCAGCTTTGTTGGGAACTGGGCCATCCCCACGTTCCTCGCAGAACTCACGGAAGACTGCAAAGACAGAGACGTTATGAAAGGAAATTCCCAGAATCACATCCTAGTCTTCCGTTGGTCTTCCATCATACCACTAGCTGTTGACATACTGTGTACAGAAGGCACCTCGCTGGGTACCTGGCCAGCTCACATCAATAGGGATGGATAAAGGATGGTCACATCTGTCCTGTATCACACCTACTCACTGATAGGGCTCACTGGGCAATGAGCACCCTCAGCCCAGACCTAGCCAGTCTGGATTACGAACCCATACAAAGGTCTGGGGAGTGAGTCCCTGGGTGATGAAAACAATTCACATGCTCAGCTGCTAACCCAAAAGTTGGAGGTTGGGTCCACCCAGAGGTCCGTGGAAGCAAAATCTTGCCATCTACACACCCCGCCCTCCCCCTCCAATGGCCATTGAGAGCCCAATGGGACACAGTTCTAGTCTGATACACACAGGAGATTGCCATCCGTTGGAATCATGTCGACACCAACTGGCTTAGTTTTGGTTGTTCTAAGTGTAAAAGAACATGTAACCATAGGCGTGTTCACACGTGTGCCTGAGAGTCCGAGCGCTATGGGCAAAGAGAGGGAAGGATGAAACCGGAGAAGTAGAGAGGAGCCACAGAGAAGGGGCTGTGGTCCCAGCATTCCAGACCCCAGCTCTGGACTCCTGGCCACCCGTCTCACTTACTTCCCCTGAGATCATCCCTCCGGACTCACTCGGTAGGCTTCCAGTGCGCCACCCACCAACGTGGTGATTCACAGGTACCGAGCGCTTCCACCTGTTACCTTGCCTGGGTTTGGGAAAGTGGTGTCCTCCGCCACATTTTCTGGCCAGAGGAACCCAGGTGATGACTGCTGTGGGTGTCCCAGGTGATGGGGATGGTCGTGTGGGGGATGGTGGGGACGGCCATGTGGGGGGCAGGTCTCTGACCCTGACCCAGCATTGCCTCCATGGCACCAAGCCATCTGGAAACTAGAGGCGTGCTCCTGGGGGAAAGGCCTCTGCCCAGTGTCAGATGAAAAGGGGAGCTGGAGGTCTGAACCTTCAAGAGCCTCCGGAGGCAGAGCTGGCCATGGCTCTGACCCTGCGAACAAAGTTCAGAGATGGTGGAACCAGGCGTGGACTTGTGATAGACAATCCTTGAAGAAAGTATGTGAATCCCATGAGCGTACGATGCCGTTTCACTGTGTCTGGCGTTCTGTCTTCCTCTGAGACATCTGTCAATGACGGGTGAACCGGTTACGTGTCTCCTTCCTAGTCTAGTCATGTCTTCATTCTGGTGTTTTCTGGTCAAAGCCGATGAGCTGAAAGGCGGGCACTCTCTCCTGCAGGCATGGGTAGGCATGCACATGGGCACATGTGTGTGCGTGCACACACACTGTCCTAAATGTATTGCTCGGGGACATAACTCTTTCATGAGAGGATGGAAAATCCATCTCCTCTCCAGTCTTGGCTTCCCCCCCACTGTGCGCTCGGGTTCCCAACGGCTTTCCATTCTCCTACCTAATGAGCGTGGGGGAGCTAGGTGATTCAGCGCAGAATTCTCGTCTCCCACAGCTGGGTTTGAGAGCTCGGTTTGACTCTACGCCCAGCATCTATCAGTCAGTGGAGGTTTGTCTGTAGCTCGGATGCTAAGCATATTTCAGTGGAGCTTCCGGACGAAGCAAGACAAGGAAGCAAAGCCCGGTGGTCTGGTTCTGAAAAACCGGACCGTGAAAGCCCAACGGTTGCAGCATGTGGGTCCACGGGTGACGCGGGCCCAGGCAGCATTCCTGTGCTGTGCTGTGCGGCAGCCGTCATGGTTCGAGGCCGAAGGGACGGCTGCTGACAACAACATGAACCGGCCGCGGCCAGAATTCGAGGGTAAGCCGTTGACGCAGTAGCAGGTGGATTTCTGTTTGTCTCAGTGACACACAGGGAACACTGGCCTTCTGGGGCTTGGCCTGTGTGCTAGCGCCCCTGCCTGGAAGGCCAGGGCGGGGTCCTCACCTGTCTGTCCACCACAACCAGACCAAACCAAACCCACTGCCAACACCAGTTGATGCTAACTCTTAGCGACCACCTGGGACAGGGTAGAACTGCTCCTGCAGGCCTCCAAGAATCCAACTCTCTACGGGTATAGAAAGCCTCGGTTTTCTCCTGAGTTGTGGACGGTGGTTTTGAACCGTTGACCTTGTGCTTAGCAGCCCAACTCATAAGCATCATGCCAGAGGGTTTCGCCACAGGCACTCAGGAAAGTCTGCAGAACAGCCTTGAAGCTCCCACTGCATCGGCTGATCCAGAGGCAAGCACTTACAGGGGTTCCAGCTGAAGGTCGGGGCTAAAGTGTTTCTTTTCCCTTCCCTAGGCTCTGGTGTTGGCCTGCTTTTACCTCTTAGTTCTCCTAACGGGTGTGAGGAAAGAAACGGAGAGCCTGGGCTGACTGGGGAGGGTCTTTCACCGGGGCCAGTGGAAGAAGGAGGAGCCCACAACCCCACCGCGCTGGACATCTCCCCCTCCCCCGCGCCAAGTGGCGTGAGTGCTCTGATGAGAAGCTTTGACAAGTCGAACTGAAGAGCCAACTCATGGTGACCCTCTGGGACAGGGTGCACTGGCCCTCTGAAGCAGCTTCTGAAGCTGTGATGGCTGACGGAGCAGAAAGCCCCGTCTTGCCCTGCAGAAAGAGCACGTGGTGGTTTCAGACTGCTGCCCGGCTGACTGCAGACAAGCTCGCAACCACGACAACGCCCCGGGGCCCTTACAGAGCAGAAGAGAGAGCACATTAGAGTGAGAAGTCATCCCGAAGAAGGAACGTTTCCACAAAGCACCCTGCGGCCGGAAAGGTAGTCTAGAAAGGGGATAGGTTGCTGGGCACCCACCACAGTCCTGCTGCTGAGTGGCCAGAGTGGGGAGGTTGATGGCCCGACAGGAAGGAGGCTGGCTGGAGCAGTGGCTGCCAACCAAAGCACTTGGCTATGAATCCAAAGGTCAGCAGTTTGAATCCACCACCTTCTCCAAGCGAGGCCGCCTTGGTGATCAGCATCCATAAAGACGAGACCCTAGAATCTGTGCTATGAGGTGGAATCAATAAGACACACCACTAGCCAATGAGGTGGCAGAAATGGTTTGCCCTCAACTGCTGGCCTAGAGGTTGAGAGTTCAAGCCCATCTGCTGCTACCCTAGAGCAGCGGTTCTCAACCTGTGGGTTGCGACCCCTTTGGGGGTCGAACAACTCTTTCACAGGGGTCGCCCGATTCATAGCAGTAGCAAAATGGCAGTGATGAAGTAGCAACGGAAATCATGTTATGGCTGGGGGGTCACCACCACATGAGGCACTGGATGGAAGGGTCTCGGCATGAGGAAGGTGGAGAACCGCTGCCCCAGAAGAAAAGGTGTGATCTGCTTCTGTTAAGATGGTCGTCAGCTCCATCCAGCTTCGTGCCTGCTGCCGGGTAGAACAGCTCGGTTGATTTCCAAGGCGTCGAGCTTTAGGAAGCAGATGCCGGGTTGTCTCCTCAGACGCCTTTGCGTGGGTATGAACCAACAACTTTTTGCGTGTGTAATGCCATCCGAGAAAACCCTGGGCTAGCTCTGCTCTGTAGCACACAGCTCAGAATGACTTCACCGGCATCGAGCAGTGACTACTGCATGCGAATCTTAGAATCAGGCATTCAAAGGTGGGCTTTCAGCTTCTGCTTTACCGTGCGATTTTCGACAGCGACTGAACTTCGGGCCGTGGCTTTACTCTCTTGAGTGTACGGATTGTGCTCACAGTGCGCCTCCTCTTCAAAGGGGGCGTGTCCATGAAAGCCTGCGGTGAGCTGTGAAATGATAAGCACCATTCCTTTTTATTGTCTCATCCGCTCTGTTTCAAAATGCTTACTGGCTGCCCCACCAACTTCTGCAATTCTCCTCTCCCCTCTCATTGCCACTCCCACCCCAAACAGCACTGTCAGCTTCTCAGTCCCTACAGCTGGGCGCTCCCTCAGCTGCTCTTCCTGGGCTGGTCCAGATCCACAAAGACCACTTTCCATGGAGCTCGGAATGAAGGCAGAGCGCTGGGTGGGGCCTTGGAGGGCTCTGACCCCAGCCCTCCAGTGAGAGAGGAGGAAGTGAAACCACAACTAGAGGACGTGACCTTCTTAATGCCAGAGTGAGTGAGTGTGTGTGTGCCAGTGTGTGTGTCAGGGTGTGAGTGAGTGAAAATGTATATGTGTATGTGAGTGAGTGTGAGTGTGTATGTCAGCGTGTGAGTGTGTGTGAGGTAATGTATGAGTGAAAGTGTGTGTGTGTGTGTGTGTGTGTGTGT